AAGAAACACAGAGGTATAGGAAAATATGGTAAAAAAAAATACAAACAAGAAAAGAATGGGGTAAGGGAAAAACAAAAAAAACTAAACTAAATACAGGATTTTTTATCTGCACCGAACAGTCACAATTATAAGCCTGTGTCGAGCTCTGTAAAAATTACATACTACTATCTAAACTAATTTCTATTCTAATCTACATACATAGTATATCTAAGATAAGAAAAAAACCCTGCAATAAGGTAAAAAAAAAAATAGCTTCTTCAATGTTGGCACTATAGAAAGGTTGGAAAGGTCAGAAATTTTACTGAAGGTTTTGAGTTATTGTTTGTTCAGGCTGCCACATTCGAGGCACATAATCTATATGTCCAGTTTCATAAGATCCATGTGTTTGTTGTGACGGATAAAAACGTAAACAATGTGACCAATTTGGTAAGTAAACAATATGTTGATTTTTTGGAGGTGTAAGCTAAATCGCTCACTTTTTTACAAAATTTTCCTCTAAAAAAAAAGCGGAGGGTCAACAAGAATATGTGAGGTTCTTCTTGTAAGTTTTACAGTTGTATAGTCCAGTTCTAAGTATCTACTTAATATTCTTGCCCAGAGACTTTGCTCTACTTGTTCTTAGAATAAACCTTCTAGTTTAGATGCCAAACATGCGAGAGAGTCTGTTGAAGATAGAAAAACTTGACCCAAGGCACAAACCTGCCTAATATTCTTATACGCCTGCTCCTCAGTATTTCACGTATTGTAGGCTTCGTCAACAACAAGTTTGCTTAGTGCAAAATCAAGAATATTGCTGTGTCCACTATGTTGCTTTCTTATATCGTTGACTGTAGTTTGGTAAATTGTTGTTGACCAAGTGATCATCGGAAAGAGTTAAAAACTTATTTATGTTTTCATTTTAGTATTAATAGTTGATGTTATTACTTTTGGTATTAAACTTTTATTGTTATTATTTTTAATAATAAAATTTTTGTTGAATTTGTCTATAGATTTTAGTTGTTAGATTTTTGCCTTTATTAAAAGAAGATGCACAGATATAAATTTGTAATAGTAGTTAGTTTTTTTTTTTTTTTTTTTTTTGTAATTAAGGTTAGTCTTGTTAGTTTTTTTTATTCATTATACAATGATATTTATTATATAATAATTTTGTAATTTTTTTATTTATTATACAACAATGTTTATTGTATTATAATTATATAACAATATTTATTGCACAATAATTAGAGTTTCTCAAAATTAAATCAAATCAAATATCATATATATTTGAATTTGATTTAATTTAAAATTTTTGTATTTAAATTTGATTTAATCAAATCAAATCAAATCAAATAATATTTGAAAATTTTTAAAATTTTGAAATTTTATTATTTTTTAAAATTTTCAATTTACAAAAAATTTTACCAAATTAATTAATTTTATATATTAAGTAAAAATTGAATGTTTTTCTAATCAAATACTCCTAGTTAGATAGAAAGAAAAAGTAATTATTTTAATAAAATTTTATATAAAATAGCTATTATATTTATAATTTTAATAAAAATTAAAGAATTAAGTAAAATACTGCTATAGTGATGATCATACGCTATAAGATCTGATATAATGTGAAATTAAAATAATAAATCAATTTGTTAGTTTAGAGTTAAGGTGAGAGTTAGATTAGAGTTAGAGTAGCATGTTTTAGTAAAGAGTTTCTAATCCAAAATATCATAAAGAAATTTTTTTGTTAGAGCACAAAAGATAATTTTATAGACAAAATTTCATGTTATGGATAATTTTTGAAAAAAAACTATAATCGCTTCAATTTTATGTTATATCTGATCCTGCATTCTAATTGATTAATTAGAGGTAGCAATATATTGTCATAGCAGTATTTTACAAAATCTAAAATTAAATTAAATATTCAATATTTGTCAAATAAATCAAATATTTTGTTAATTTGAATTTGATTTGCTTTAAAATTTTTATATTTGAATTTGATTTGTCAACAAATATTAAATCAAATTAAATTAAATCAAATCAAATTGTGAAACTCTAACAATAATGTATATTGTATAATAATTTTGTAAATTTTTTTTTTTTACTTGGTTTAGGCCGCAGATAAATTAGTTTGAGTTTTTTTTCTTGCTATCTTAGGATATGAAGTTTAAATTTATTCTTTTCTTTATATAAGAGTTATATTCTCTTTTCTTGTAAGAGAGCTGTATATTCTTTGCTTATAAAAGAGTTAGATTAAGTTTTAATAAAGACAGAGACATGGTCTTACCATTAATATTCAAAAAAAAATAATTTTTTTTTATATATTTAATTTTAAATAAAGTTATATAATCTATATAATCAATTTTAATTGGTCAATTATGGGTCAAATACTTTAATTGATAATTCTTTAGTGAACTGAAAAATTCTCATAGTGTAATACAACATAGTTCTATAAGTAAATTATATAGATGGAAATATAGAAATTTTTTTTCTTACTAAGTAAATCATCTTTAGACTTCTATTAAAAGTTGTAAAACTCATCAAAACATATCTAATAGTAGTAAGAATATTAAAATTGGCTTGGTAATTTTTGAAAAATCTTTAAAAAACATTTTGTTAACATATAAAATTTCTTTAAAAAAAATTAATTTTTTTAAAGGAGATTTTATATAGTCAGTAAAATGTTTTTTAAAGATTTTTCAAGAACTACCAAGCTAATTTTAATATTTTTACTACTATTAGATGCATCTTAATAAGCTTTACAACTTTGTTAGAAGCCCAAAAATAATTTACTTAGTAAGAAAAAGGTTTTTTTTTGGATGAATGCACATTTCTATTTTAAGTAATTTATATATAAAACTGCATTGTGTTATACTATGATCATTCTTCAGTTCACTGAAGAATTGTCTATTAATACAAATACTGTATTTTGATAATTAAAAAACTATTTAAACTATACTTCAAAACTATTAGTTTAAATTTAACTTTTTTGTTTAATTTTTATTAGTTTAGTTGTAAAAATATTTTTTAATTGAACCTATTTTTATCTTAGTTTAAGTTTTAAAACTCTAAGGGTGTGATGACTTAGTGAAATGGTTAACTTGTCACATCCCAAGTTGCAAGTTGACAGGTGGAAGTTTGAAATATACTAATAGCAAAATTTCAAATATTCAGTTTATACAATGGCTACTATCTTTCGACAATTAGTTAGAATGAGATCTTTGTAACCTTAGTTGCATCAACAAGATTGGGAGAACATAAGGCATTTGTGCAATATATAAGTTATATGAAGGCATCCAAGTTAGTATTAATTAGTGCAAACCCAAGATAAGACCTCTTGCTCATATAAATCCAAGAAACTGAAAAGATGGACACCCACTTGACAAGACCTGACTGAGTAGAGATATAGCACAGACTTTTAATAGTGACTACTGGAATAGGCTTTACCTAAGGCCAGAGAACTGGACATAGCAAAAACACCTGACAAGTTGTTCTACCAACTAGGCCACCAGCTTAAGCATTGACTAGAGGAAAAAGATCAGCAAATACCATGAAACCAGTGTTCATTCTGGGCTATTTGAATTGGTAATTTGGGAAGACTGGCTAGAGAGTATTGAAAAGAAGGTACCGTATTGTCTTGAAAGAAGAGTATCAGGGTTTGGGTGAACTTTGCAAAAGTTAGGAGGTTCAGCAATGTGACCTGCCTATAAAGATTTAGAACCTATTTGGTGAACTTATCTGCGAAAAGAATTGGCGGTATAGTCTACCCATAAAGGTATAGAACCTATCCGACAAAACTTATCTGAAAAAGACTAGATAATATGGTAATAGTGGGTACTGGACTGCTCTAGCAGATGATGATCTTGAGGATGAATTGGTTAACTAAGCTGGTAGTCCTATAGGTAGTTCACAAACAAGCCTAGAACTTGGACTGACTAATGTATCACAGGTACTGGGTGAAGTTAGATAGATTGGCATAAGAAACTCAGATCAGAGGGTTTAATTGGATAACTCAAATAATAGGTGGGTTATAGGTATAGAATATAGTATAGAACCTAGTAATAGGCAGATTACTTAAATTAGACATTTAAAAGACACAGGTATAGCTAAAATGTACCCTTGTCAGAATATACTTGTCTGGGGCTCCTTTGAAAAACACCACATAATTCTATAGTCTAATAAAAGTGATAAGCCAAAGTGGCTAACCTTGACTACAAAAAAAAAGTTTTAAAACTCTAAATTTTATTAGCAAAACTATTAATAAAACTTTTTCTAAATATACTTTTTATGAACTATATTTAAAATTTCAAAAATTTGACTTAAAGAAAATATATATTTATAAAAAATAAAATATATATTATTATTATAAGCTAAAACCAAACTATATTATACACTTAAAAAGATTTTAAATAGAAAATATATTTATAAAATGTGCACTTAGAAAGGTTTCTCTATATATAATATTGAATATTATTATTAATATAATTTAACTTATTAATTATATACATATATATATACTAAATTTTAAAAATATTTAATACGTAAAATTTTTTTTAAACTTGTATAATTTTAAAATTATTAGTTTGTTACTTGTGTTGAAAATTTTAAATAAAAAATTTATCTAATATAACTAAGTAATACGTGTTATATTGTTTAATTTATAATTTAGTTATTATAGATTCTTAAAAATAAAAAAATACTAATATAATTTTTTGAAGAGTTGAAAGATTTTAATATTTTGTTCATGGTATAATTTTAAATAATCATGAATTGAAATGTTTAATTATTATATAATCTATTGTTCATAGGTTCACATGATTAGTTGAGTGTGAAATTTTCGCGGCAATCCTGGAGAAGATAAATTACTTCATATTTCGATCAATGTATTTAGATACAAAATATTTCTTACTAAATATGCCAATTTTTCTTTTGAAATTACATCAAAATTAGTTGTTTATCTATTTGTTTATTTTTTTTGTGAATAACTTAAGTTTTAAACATATAACAACCAATATGTATCATTGTTATTTCCACACTGGCACCCCTGAAACGACATCTGTTGGTTTAATTATTTGTCCGATGAGAGCTTGAGACAATAGTTCGTGTTCCTCCTGTATATGTTGTGCTTTATTTCCTGTAGCAGGAGATGCTGATGGTGGACGAGTAACCGGCTCCGCAGCTTTACCTAGAACAATTTTTTACTTTAATTAACGAATAAATCTTGATACAATAACGAAAACCACATTATGTGCAGGAATTATATAGTATACCTTTATGGCGTTCAGAGTGGTTCAAGAGTGTTCGTATTCTGGGAACTATGTAAGTCCATGCACCTGAATTTAGAGGTTCTTCTTGCACCCACACAAGTTTAGCATTTGGATATTTGTCGACGTGCTGTGATAGCAAATCATATGGAAACGGGCTCAATTGTTCAATCCTGGAAATAGCAATATGATTCATATTGTTTTGTTCACGAGCTCTCAGAAGAGCATAATAAACTTGGCCAGTGCATAAAATGTGACGCGTAATTTTTTCGGGCGCAACCAATGTTTCAGGATGTGGTTCTGGTATATATCTAGCAAAGTATGTGTCACCGACCATTTCATTAAGAGTAGACCGAGCCATGGGATGTCGAAGAAGACTTTTAGACGTGAAAACAATGAGCTACATGAAGCATGACACAATGTACATCAAAAATTAGCAATTTGATGAATGTTGATTCAATTTAAATATATAAAATACTTACTGGTTTTCTAAAGTCTCTATGAATTTGCCTTCTCAATACATGGAAATAGTTTGCCGGTGTTGTGCAATATACTACTTGCATATTGCAATCTTGATGTTGACGTGACATTTTATCTGGAGGTGGGTAAATATAGGGGTGATCATCACAAAGTTGAAGGAAACGCTCAATACGTCCACTAGAATGTTCAGGGCCTTGACCATCGTAACCATGGGGCAATAAGACTACTAAGCCGGTGCGTTGAAGCCATTTCTTTTCACCAGATGAAATGAATTGATCGATTATACACTGCGCATTGTTGACAAAATCACCAAATTGAGCTTCCCATAAAATGAGGGAATTAGGATCAACTAAAGAATAACCTAGTTCAAAACCTAGAGTGCCAAATTCAGAAAGCGAAGAGTTACACACAACATATCGGGCCTGCCCAGGTCGAAGGTCATTCAAAGGCACGTATTGTGACTCATTCTCCTGGTCATGAAGAACAGCGTGACGTTGTGAAAAAGTACCACGCTCAACATCTTGACCAGACAACCGAACATGTTTTCCTTCAAGAAGTAAGGAGCCAAATGCAAGACTCTCAGCGGTGGACCAATCAATATTTTCACCATCTTCTATTGATTTAGCTCGAGCTTTAAGCATTCTAACAAGACCCGAGTGCACATGGAAATTATTTGGATAGGAACTAATGACTTGTCCAATATGTTTAAGAGATTCAAGGGTAGATCCAGTTGGATAGATAGGTGTAATTTCTTCTGCAATTTCTTTAGGAGACTTAAATCCTTTGTTGCAAAGATATATTAGATGCAATCCATTAATAAGTAAAATGATTATTTATTAGTAATCTTACCATCCCAAGAACTAGATAGCCATTCCCGACTCGTAGGTATGTAATCCTTGCTTTTTGTATAACTTTCTTCTAACATACCCCACACCCATTTTTTATGCTTTTGAATATCTTCCATTGAAAATGTGCGTTCCGCTGTAAGTCTTTGTACATACTTATCAAGTATGGGAGTTTGTTTAGCGATCTGTTTATACATCCTTGGTTGAGTAAAACTAGGTTGATCAACTTCGTTATGACCATATTTACGGTAGCAAACAATATCAACAACGAAATCCTTTTTGAAGGTTTGCCTCCATTCAGCGGCTAGTTGGCACACAAAATTCACTGCTTCAGCATCATCACCATTAACATGGAAAATAGGAGCATTAACAACTTTAGCGATGTCGGAGCAATAAGAAGTTGAACGTGCAAATCGAGGATCCGTAGTGAAACCTATTTGATTATTTATAATTATATGGATAGTACCACCTGTCGTGTAATTTGGTAAATCATGGAAACCAATTGTTTCATACACAACTCCTTGTGCAGCAAAAGAAGCATCTCCATGTAATAATAAAGCCATAGAATGATGACGATCTTTTTCATCATTCATATAATATTGAAGGGCACGAATTTTACCGAGTACAACTGGATTGACAGCTTCTAAATGAGATGGGTTTGCTGCTAGAGAAAGATGTACGCGCTTTCCGGAAGGAGTTGGTCGGACATAATTCATTCCTAAATGGTATTTGACATCACCAGAACCTTCATCTGAAGGTTCAACAGAACCTCCGAACTCACAAAAAATGGATTCATTAGGTTTGCGAACCACATTACTGAGTACATTGAGACGACCGCGATGTGCCATACCAAGCACGATTGATTCTATACCAAGGTCAACAGACCTATCAATCTGTAAATAAAAGATGGTTAAGTAATACGATTAACAAGTAATTATATTAAGTAACCTTTGAAGATTTATTTACCAAAGCTTTCATGCCGGGAATCAAACTTTCACAACCTTCCAAGCCAAATCTTTTCTCAGTCGGATATTTAGTGGAAACAAACCTTTCAAACGAATCAGACCATATTAACCGATCTAAAATCATACGCTTTTCTTCACCTGAGTAATCGTATGGTTTTGGAATTTCTATGCGATCACGAATCCAATCACATTGTACACGATCAAGAATATGAGTATATTCAATTCCTATAGTGCCACCTAATAAAACAAGGCATTTCATATTTATATCAATAGTAGAATATATGAAGGATGTTAAAAATAATCAAAATAATCCGTACAATAAATTCTTTTGCAACATTCAACTATTTCATGAAGTGTCATCTTCTCTTTAGTTTCAGCAAATCCGGGCAATATCCCAGGACCCAAATAAAATTGCCTATCAAGATCTTTTTTCGAAAAACCATAGTATTGTGGATCGAGTTCTTTCGGAATTGAACTCAAGTTTTTAATATCTAATGGATCTAACTTTGCAATGTGATGCCCACGAACTTGATAAGCTCTCACTAAAAGTTGAACCTTCATGTGGTCACTTATATCATAATCGCTAGAAAATTGAGTACTCGTTGAAACAGACGTGACAGGACCGGTCAATGGAACGTTAAGCATCGGTTTTATTCCTTCCATATTCTTGAAGTATGCCTGCCAAGACATATCAACTGACGAGGGATTTTTAAGCCAGGCCTCATACATTTCTTCAATGTAATTTGTTGCATTACCTTGAAGAAATGCATCATTTGGAGGAAGTGATCCGCCAGAGTTTACAGGGGTTACTTTGTTGCGAGTGGGACCGGGTCCGAAAGTTAGTTTCGGCAAAGTATTGGCACGAAACGACAATGTACTATTGCGTAAGACGGTAAGACCCGGTCGAAATGTACGAGACCATAATATGACGGAAAACATATTTCCTTGATTTCATTCTCGAGAATTCTCGAGTGAAGTTAAAATTTGAAAAAAAAAGAATTTTATCATTTGGCGCACCTGCGTTGTAACGCACCCCATAAGATCCGGTGTAACGTAAAATCAAAACAAACCAACAACGCATTAATTTAGGGTAAGGGTTAGTAATAATTTTGGGCTAGATTAGACTTTAAGTATATGTCGGTTATACCCAAAATTTTGCAAAGAATTTTTTTTGTTAGAACGCAAAAGGTGGTTTCATAAGCCAACTTATGAGTTACAAGCGATTTTCTCAAAACATCGCAATTTTTTTCGATTTCACGTTACACCTGATCTTACAATCTGATTGGTCGATCAGCCAAGTATCCCAGAGAGCTGCATCTAAAAATAGATCATGTTACACAATTTGCAAGAGCATAATTTATTTTTTTTTTTTTTTAATATTAATGAAAAGCATAATTTATATGCTTAGACTCACGAAACTTATCTAGCATTCAAATGCATTAAGCAAGCTTAAAACTTTTTTATTTATATATATATATTTTTTTAATGTTAAGGTGACCACTTGGGGGTCTGGCATGTTTATTAACTTTGGTTACGAATGCTAAAGCAGCTACAGAACCACTCCTGACTTTGTTACATTAACAAGGGTACATTCTAGTCATGTCTGCGTTTTTTGAGCATCTAATTAAGTAGAGTTTATATATTACTATGTCTTATATTAGATGTTATACTTATAACCTATTATTATTTGAGTTACCTAATTAAACCTTTTAATCAACTTAGCACTGTCGTGATATTCTTTCCAAAAAGGAACTGCTGCTAAGGTCCCTTAGAACTACTTTATTCTCATGATAAATCTACTAAAGCGGTCTATGTCCTATATATATATTATCTAGATTTTTGTTAACTTATGTCTAGGCTGAGACCAAGTATTTGTGAGCTGAAGCCATTATTTTTACCTACTCTATGCCCTTGCAAAGTTCACTCAAGCCCTAATATCTACTATACAGATTATTATCAGTACCTAAGTTTCATCAGTAATCCAAACTCTCAATTCAGATAGTTCGAAAGAGTTGTAACCTGCCCTGGTCTCTATAGTTAGGTCTTTTTTCTCTAGTACTCCTCCGGCGGTCTGGTTGGTATAGTGTCTTGTTAAATATTGGTCCTTGTCCAGATTACTAAAATTGGTATCTAGATTCTTTAGATAGCTTTTTATATAGTACTGTCAAAAATCTGTGCTACCTCTCTACTTGAAACTTGCCAAGCAGACTCCTGTATATGTTATAGCTCTAATATTTAAATTAACTCGGCTGCTTCACTCAGATTTCATATAACTCATATGTCATACTAATATTCTACAGCCTCTCAGTAAACTCTGGTGTAATCAAGTTTACAGATCTTACTAATCCATCAGATTACACACAGTCTGCTATAACACATTTTGTAAAATTTGAAACTCTTGTCCTGCCGTTTAGAGGTGTAACAACTTACCAACTTCACTAAGTTGCTACACCTTATATTTATAAATATTTATTTTAATAACAAAATAAATAATTAAAACAGGGTATAGCAACTTAGTGAAGTAGTCAAATTGTCACATCCTCAAGTAGCAGGACAAGAGTTCGAATTCCACTGGTGACGAAATTCGAATTTTACAGAATGTGTTACAGCAGACTGTGTATAATCTGATAGATCATTGGATCTGTAAACTTGGTTGTACTAGAGGTTATTGGAAAGCTGTAGAACTATAGTATGACACATGAGTTATATAAAACTCGAGTGAAGCAGCTGTATAAATCTAGGTATTGGGTATACAGAAGCCTGCTTGGCAAGTCCTGAGTAGAGGTAGCACAAATATTCAATAGTACTATGTAAAAGGCTATCTAAAGGATTTGGACACCAATTTCAGTAGTTTGGACGAGAACTAGTGTTTGGCAAGACACTATATCAACTAGGCCGCCAGATGAGTAACCGAAGGAAAAGGATCCAACTGTAGGGACCAGGAGTAAGTCACAGCCTCTCCGGGCTATCTGGATTTGGAGTTTAGATTACTGACGAAACTTAGGTACTGGTGATAGTCTGTAAAGTGTGTATTAGGGTTTGGATGAACTATGCAAGGGCAGAAGTAGGTAACGGTAGCAGCTTTGGCTCACAAGTACTTGTTTTTAAACTCGGCATAAGTTATCAAAGTCTAGATTAGCCAGATTGTGGATATGGAAAGCTCTAGCTAATGACACCTTAAAGATAAATTGAGATAACTTTGTTGTGTTAGTTGGTTAGAAGGTTGGTAAAGATATTAATTAATTGTAAGGGCATATTTAGTCATAAAAGAGATTTATAAAAAAGATTAAGGTTAACAGAATCATAAGCTTTGCTCATATCCTGAGATATTAGCCAAAGCTCTTTAGAATTACAGGCAGCATCTTTGATAATATTATTAAGAATATAAATAGGAATATAGATACTGTTTTCAGATAATACAATATAATTAAAAGGTAAGAGAATTTGATATGTAGTAAATATGAGATTGAGTCAGTTAGTTAGAAGTTTGGTATATAGTTTCTTGATGTGTTCAAGTAGACTTATAGGTCTGGTATTAACCAAATTGCTATCAAAGATTGGTTTTTTAGAGATCAGAAAGATTCTACCCTCTTTCTATTGTTTAGGAATTTTGTTAGTGATGATACATCTGTTGAATAAAGATGTAATAGCTTGGAGAAAAGGTAAGCCTGTATGTTTAAGCATCTCATAACTGATGCCTGATGGGCCACAAGCTTTGTTATTTGGTAATTATGTAAGGGTAGATGATACCTCCTTGATTAAGAACTCAAGAAGTACACTTTGATACCAATCTAAGTTAATATGATCTAAAGATTGGTATTCATTTTGCTAAGTTTGATTGTAAATAGTTTGATCAATAGTCCAAAGGCCAGTCCATTGATCAAAATGTTTTTGAATATGTGATTTAATATTATGTGTATTAGTGATAATATTGTTATCTAGTTTGATATTATCAAACTTAACAGGATCTTTATATCGGTTGAGTATACTATTAATCATAGATTTTGGGTTGGTGTGGAGCTTATCACATTTTTTTGAGATGTTATTATTAATTTGCTACCTTATTTCTTTAATGTTTTTCAAATTACATGCATGATAGAGAGCTTTTCATGTTTCTTGCTGTAGTTAATTCAGCTAGGCAGTTGATTATAACTAATTGATATAGAAGATATATCAAGGTTGTGAGTTAGATTAATAGTATTAATTGTACTATTATGATAGTTAGATATAGGTAATTAGGTTTGATTTCTGATAATTGCTTTAATTTGATGGATAATATTACTTAATTTTTTAAGATGAAAGTGTAATTGAGATGCTTTAGGTGAGTATATATGCTGAAAGTTGCGTACAGTAAATCTTTTATTAAGTATATGTTGTAATGCTGCTAAGGTTATACTTGTTTGGATTTTGTGCTATATGCATTTAAGTGATTCATTGATGTTTGTAGTTAGTGGTATATTGTTTAATTAGAGATTTGAAATAATTTGATCAGTATATAGTTGTCATTGTTCTGTATTCATATTTTTGTATAGAAATACTCTTCTGCATATTCTAGTAGAGATATGACGTTTGCCTAAAAATGTATATAGAAAAACCTATAATGAGATTAGGATTTGGTGATTACTCTTAGTACTAGAATTAGAATCATCATTATAGTAAGAATTAAGATAATGAAGTATTGAGTGGTTGGCCCATATGTAGTCAATATAGCTGGAGTATCTACTACTGTTACAAATATCTGTAGATGATTGGGTATGTATTATCAAATCATATATGTTGTTATATTGGAGGAATTGAAGTAGCTTATATTTAATAGATGTAGATCGTATATTATTACTAGAGGCATTAAAATTTTCTATAATAATAAATTGCAAATTATTAGATGTTGCTTCTTGTAACCATTGAATAATTGCATTTTGAACTTTAAAGCGAAGTTGTAAACTGTACAAAGTAGGTAAACTAATATGATTCTGAATATGAATTTTATATTCTAGTATGAAGATAATGATAGTATTGATAATATATATAATCTGTTTATTAGTAATTTTCTTTGTGCTAGCACTATATATATATATATTTTTTTTTATATATTGGCAGCTTCGCGGTATCTTTATTAGATCAAATCATATATATAAACATATATTCAACTATTTAAGCTACAGATCCGATATTCTTCAGCTACTTTATTAAGCGTCTAGGGACGGTCTGCCTCACTGAATAAGGCATATGCCCACATTGAAGGGCTGCACCAAGACAGCCTGTAAAGCTATACCAGCATTAGCAAAATTTATATATAGATATATATCGATTACTAACCCCATGGATATATATCGATTATAATCTCTCCTGCCGATTTTCATCGATGATGATATATATCGATATATAGCCGGTTTATATACCTATCGATTTTTATCGATTCCGATTAAAATTGATATTTATCGGATATAATATAAACATATAAAATACTATATACAATATATACCGATACTATATATATACTAAAAATAACATTTTTTATTAAAGATTTTATTTTAAAAAACATTTACATATATTCTATATTTCATGTCTCTTATAACCAATATAATTATTACAAATGACTCTTTTTGTAAAATCTATATAGCTAAAATTCTATTTAATACTAGCTTTTTGCATCGCCAGCACCATTTTTAATAAGCACAAACCTACAAGAAAGAAATGTTAGAAAAACGAAACAATAATAAGAAAAAAAA